GGATTGCCAGTATTTACTATCTTAATTAGGTTCTGCTATATTAATTACGTTTCACTATTTTAATCAGGAATACATTGGGGTTTAGATAATTGCTGCTCGGTCGCAAATAAGACTTATCATTGTTTGAAAAGAAGTCTTCGTTTGCCTTGGTAGGAATTTGGCACTTAGAAATTGCGGGTTGCGATCCGCTCTCTTGTACGGGTTCTTGGAAAGAGCGTAAAATTGGTAACCTTAGCTTAGTTTCCTCTAAGCAATGAGCTACGGCAGCCTCGCTGCACTTGGTAGCACTCGTAGTCAATCTATGCCTGAGTCGTTACGACTGATTCTCTGTGAGGATGGAGTTATACTCATATTTGCTCAAGGCCATGCAGGACGGGCTTGATAAGCTGATGTCCCTGCTGGGCCTGAGGTCGTAGAGCACCTTGTTGCGCAAGGCCTGAGGCCACTTACGCGCGTCTAGAGGCATTTTCAAACTATGAAGATGCTCTGCTAGAGCGCTTACAGCAAAAGCTGTTAGTGTCGACTGCGACTATGACGCTCCGTCGACGAAGGATGATTTGTTCAGCGTGGTAGCGTTAAGACCTTTGAGGGTAAGGATGGAGAGTATCTTTATCTCTGGGTGAAAGAAGCCAATATGGATATGGCATTCGCCATACTTTAAAGCGAGCAACAGCGCGTGGCGCTTGCTATCTCCCAGCTCGGGGGCCGAGCGCGAGAATGTGCGATGACGCGATCTCACGCGATATGCCTGATTAGGCAGCTTTGGTTAAAGTTGCATTCCCTTCCTGGAAGATGCTGAAGCGTCAGCTTATGCGAGTGTCCTCGCTGCCTAATCAGGCATATCGCGTGGGATCGCTTTTCCTTATTGCCCGACTGGGTGAGAAGGAGTTGGTGGGCTTTGTACAAGAGTTGGGAATTCTTATTGCTGGGATGGCAGCAGATCCTCTCCCCGATGCGATCACAGGGATTGTCTTTCTGGAGAGCCTCCGCACTGGCGTGGCCAGACTGAAAGTCTTTCGTGTGCATCGGTCTTGTTTTGAAGAAGCGGTGAATGTGGCACCAAAGGCCATATCCAACTTCCTGTCGGCACGACTTGGTTGGGATGCACACCATCAGAGCTCGTCAAGCGGGCCTGAGGCAATGAATTTTAGCCATGTTGAGAAGGATAAGGGAGAGCTCCGAGCTGCTAAGCAGCGTGTAAACACCCGACGGTGTTTTGTTTGTGGAGACACCCGTCACCTTCGGACGGGTTGTGTCTTGCGCAAGGCGCGTAAGAATTCGTTGAACCGACGTTCCGCTTCTAGCCAGTCTGGTTTGACGCGGGTAAACAAGAACACCCAGTAGGCGCGGGGCCTCCTACTTGAGCGAATTGAGCTCTGTTGAGCCTAGAAGAGGTAGAGAACAGCAAAGCTCAGCCCCGAAGTGCTGCGTGCTAATGAGAATGAAACGTGTCCGTAAGCCAAGCTTGCTGGTCGCAAAAGCGACCGTGAAGGGCTTTGAGAAGCCAAGGAAAAATTTATCGCTTCTGGTGCGTCGGGCAACTATACTCGATGCTTCACGATCGAAGGAAGTCAGCTGTATGCTCAAGCGCTGGAAGCACAGTTGAGTGACACGGTCACTATTTGCTAAGCGACGGGGACTTGAGTCACTGAGCCGAGGGTCCCTGTGGACATCGGTGTCAGGTTTCTTGACTTTGATTGCTTGGAGCGCTGTATAATCTTAGACTTTGATGCAAGGTATGACCTTATCTGTGGTATGGCATGGTTGGAACACCATGAGCCATGGATTAATTGGAGGTCGATCATCTTGAGCGCTACACGCACGTATCCTGGTGGAGCTTTGGTGAATCATGAGCCACCACTGCTCAGAAGCAGAAGCGTTTTTGGCGCGGGCACTGGACCAGGATGGTCAATGTGCTAGATATCGGACTATTACAGTTGACAAACACCAAAGGTATATTGGACAAGACTCCCGAGCGTGGTTCGTGAGCAGAACGTTGAGCGGCACGTGACCCACTGAGCGCTGCTCAAGTTTTGGAGCAGTCGCTGCCTGCCAAGAATGTCTGGAGACGGTGTTGCAACAAAAGCGTAAATGCTCGTCAATACGAAAGTGTTGTCTGTGTGCCAAGAATGGCATGGTCGGCCAAGGACCGAGGCATCAAGGGCGAGACCCTTGTGATGCGCGTGTAGTTGCACGTAGTCCACTGGACAAAGAGTGCGGAAATAGCATTTCTTCGTCGGATGTTGTTTATCAACAAGGCTCCGATGGAGCAGGGAGTGGGGACTCTGGACGACTCCGCGAGCTTTAGACCTGGTCTAGATGAGACGTATAACCGCTATGGAGAGGAGACGGCGAAGCCGTATGATATCTGCAAGACCCACGGCGTCGACCCCGGTCTACCGTAGACGAAAGCGCGCAGCTATATACCCTTGTCAAGGGTGTGATGGGAGAGAAAAACGGCGACGTCACCCACGAGGCTATTCTCGCGGTGGATGATCTTCTTGAGTTGGACGAGATGTCCTTTGAAATGTTGAGCGGTGCCTTGAAGGCAGGCAATCTAGTCGAGAAGATCATTATAAGACAGAACTTGGAAATTAATTCGTCGTTGCTTCTGGATAAAGCTGTCCTGGAGGACACTAAGAGGTGCTGAACGCACGAAGTGGATCGTTGATCTTGAAGGATCCCTCGGATCCGTTTTAAGATTAGGTAAAGAAATTCCAAGACGTCGTCTCCAAAACCCGCCGTCGGCCCTACCTCTGGACCGAGGTGTGCGTCATAAGATTGACCTGGTTCCGGGAACCAAATACTGCGTATCACGCCAATAGCCCCTGCTCAAAGAGCAGCGTAACGCCATTGACGAGTGAAGCACGACGCAGGATTGGTGCGTGACAGCAAGTCTCCCCAATTGACACCCACGTTTTGTGTCGGAAGCCGAGCGACAAGCGGTGTACCGTTCACGCTTATAATAGGCTAAACACTGCCACCGTTTCGGTACAAACGCCAATTCCTAGAACGGATTTTCACCCGAATAATGTGGTTGGGTGTACGAGGTGAAGTGCACTTGACTTGGTCGATGCTTATTTCCACGGCCATTGTCTAACCTCATTAGAAAGGATACAGAGTGGTGTTGGGACACCAATCATCGGGAGGCTTTCGAAAGGATCAGAGACAGCTTCTTTCATGCACCGATACTGACATTGCCAGACCCCGATCGTCCTTTAATGAGGTCTGCGACGCTTCGGCTTTGTCATCGGATGTGCGCTGCTACAAGCAGACGCCGAGTGGCGAAATTGGGTGATTGCGATCGAATCCCGCCAGCTTAAGGCTTCGGAGAGAAACTTCTCAGTCCACGACAAGGCATTACTCTTAATGAAGTATGTACTTGTCAAGTTCAGGGTGCACCTGCTGGGCTCAAAGCCGTTTGTGATCTATATGGATTATGCGTCACTGCGCACTGCGACTCTGTTGCCTCACCTCTCGCAGAGGATGGCCCGGTGGCTCTCATTCTTTGCAGAATATAACTTTGAGGTGAAGTATAAGCCAGGAAAGCAGACTGCTTTGGCTGAAGTGGGATCACGCAGACCGAACTACGAGTTGCTCATGTCACGACGGTAACATCGTCAGTGACTCATTTGATTTGCGCCACATACGCGGGATAGTACATGTGTAGCGCTGCTACAGGCTCTCGGGGGCAAGAGTTTAGAAACTCGGACAAGAAATAGTCAGCACGATTGCGTGCACGGTTACACCGATATTCGTTGAGTAACGGGTTGCTGTATCATAGCACCGATTCAACGGATACGCCGCGACTTGCGATTCCTTACGATGAGAGTTTTTTATGGTACTTTTCTCTTATGTTCTCTTATGGTATGACTTTAATTAACAAAAGATAAGAGTACGTCAGAAGAAATTTCTTCGACCTTCCAGCAGAAAATGATATTCGTTAAGAGATCACCAAGCTGATGAAGTAGCAGTAGACAATACAGCAAAATCCACAGCGTGCAGCGCCGGGCAGCAATCACGAGATTTGTTCTTCCACCCGCAGCTGCGGCAGCCACAGCCTCAAGTGCAGCAGAATTCTTGCTGGGACGGCGAGCAACGGCCAGCAGCTAGCGGCACTAATTCTCAAGTAATAGGTCGGGGGCGAGAAAGCACCATGTTCATTGAACTACGCAGGTTTTAATCGACCTGCTTGCTTCAAGGCCAGGTATTATGCCGCACGCAGCATTGAAAGCCTTCGAGTCTAATTTCGTATTCTCCGAGGTGTCTGATCAACAAGTGAGGAATAAAGTCAACGCTTTGAAAGCTGCATTGAAGAAGAACCCTTCTGGTGCTTTATCCTCACTCGTCTGTTATCCTTCGTCCATCAAAGCTCCTCCAGTGACCTCCAGCCTGATGATCAGCCGACGATCAGTGGCTGCTGCTTGTGTAAAATGTAACAACTCCTCAGCGTCAGGGACCAGAGGATGCGTGGTTCCTAGTCTTCACTCCCGTCATTAATGTATCCACCGAACTTCTGCTAGTAACACCGCGGACGACGAATGAATAAACGCTCCTCATAGCTCTCGCATCTCGGCTGATGATGACGCTTCTGCCAGTAGCGACAGTCTCTTCTTCCTTGACGAACTAGACAGTAACATTCAGCAAGTGAAGAGTTCCTCCTAGTAATATTGTTAATACAAAAGGCATGCCCACCTCTATTGGGTGCTCAACTCTAGAAAGTGAAATATCTGGTACTACAATACCTACAGTGATGCTTGAGGTGTCAAAAACCTTCTCACATGACGTAGAATCGAATTCTCGGCAGAGTCAGGACATTGCTTTGGCTGGATCCGATCATCCCCAAGTCTCTTATCAAAATAGTCATTTTGATTCACAACTCATTGCTAATTATTTATGTTCGTCTACACTCAATTCGGCAGTTATAGATTTTAAAGCAATGACAAATGTGAAATATATTTCGCGATATGGTAAACAAATCGCCAATCATCACCTGAGCTCTACTTTTTTCCACCAACTACTGGCTTCACATTATTGAGACTGCCACACATCAACACATCAAGGCGTAAGTACCTGTTAAATTTCGACCTCTTCAAATAGACAACGCACTTGATGGTGATGCGAAGATTGCTACCCTTGGGAACATCAAACTTTTTAGGATGCGAGCGAAAGTGGTTAATGATGTTGGATACGTCAATTCCTCTCTGGATCGCAGCCTTGGATTCCTTGAGCTGCTTGCGTGCCGCCGATGTCTTGAAAGGTCGCAATTGCACAGTGGGAACAACCTTCTTGCCTTTTTTAGCAACTAGCACAAGTCCAGGCCGTCGCTTGTTGATTACTGTCTGGCGCTTGGCCGATGCAAAGGCCGCATTGGCCTTCGCACGCTACCCAAAGCCCACAATCAAAACTTAGTCCGAATGTTCCTTGTATCTTCTGTAATTATACGTACAGCGACCTTAGGTATAGGCACAATCACCGTCTTTTTCACATTTTTCTGCTTGTGGCTCAAATTTTTGGACTTCTTCTGCGTAATTTTCACCTTCGACTCGGTCGTCTTGGTCTTGAGCTTGTGCTTTTTGGTCTTCTGTATCAGCTCATCTGCGAAGAATGTATTTAGCAAGTTTAAGATGGCAGGAAAGTAAGGAGGATTTAATAATTTACCTAGAGGGAGAGCAAGTTTCTCCTCTGCGGAGATCCCGATCGAGAAGTCTCCCGATGTGGCCATATCTGTGGAAAGAGATTTAATTTCCTGCTTAAATGTATTTAATTTTCCACTCTTGAAAAAGATTGAATTAAAAAAGGGGGTTTTCAAATATTAAGTAACTTTGACAAATTTGACGTTAGATGAATTTTCTATTGCTATTGGATTTAGGAGGTTTTGCTGTATGCTCAACATATACGATGATACCTTGCCTCATGAATGTTTTCCAGCGTCTTTATAAACTAGTTACGTCGCCCGAGATCCTACATTGGAAGATCCATTCAAATGATCACTTACGTTCAATTGAAAGCTCAAGAAATCACTTAAAAAATAATGAGCTCATCGATTTTTCTTTGGGTGACTACTTCCTGTCTAAGCTGATTCAGCTCTCCCTTAGTTATTAAATGCTCACGAAGCACGCTTTTTGGTCGTAGCTTCATGACGTCGCGGGCCATCCGTCCATTTGTTCAATATCACTCGCTTCATCATAAGGTGCTTCGTTGTCATCTGCCAGACGTGTTTTGTTTCCTGGGAACATTCTGTTGTCACTTCCGCTGCTATCCCGGCTCAACACCACAACTGTAGGCAATAAAAATAAATCATTTCATGCTCTTGTTAAAGACTCTGCGAGCCCCTTGTTAAAAGCGGTGCTTCTCGTTGTATACTTCTTAGTCCTAATGCACTAGATCGAGGCGGTACCCTTGCGTATGGCAGAATTTTAAAAGTGTTTTTTAAATTCCCTGCTATACTTCAAGCCTCACAATCATCACTAGCAGGAGTTCTGATTCTAGAAGTCAGGCCCTCGTCAGCTCTTCAACTCTGCCTTGGAATGCAATTTGCTTATCCATAACCAACAATCATGAGCAATTGCTCTTTCACTAAAACCTGATGTTTCAAGCTGGATAGAATGCCTTGTCATCCACAAGAAATAATTGATGGATCTGTTGAAATTCTTTTCACAAGCATAAAAAGCTTTTTGTGCTACTCTCTTTAAGAAGTTTGCCTGTAGTACTTACCGCAGCTGAAACAACATCATCACTATGAAAGCTTTAGTTGCTTTTTAAAGACTGGTGCGGCCACGCGAGACCAATTCTCGGGCCAGTGCTGAAGTGAAAGCAAAGTGAAAAGGTAAATTCCGAGTACAAAATGACAGAGCAAAATTGCGTAGAGCACACCCACCTCTACAGTTTTCAGAGATGATCGCAGTCGATTAAGTTGTGCAGTATTTTTTGGGTAGCCTTTCAGCAGGTCATAAAGTTGCGCTGAAAGTTCCTTTGCTGAATCAAACACCAGGCCGTTTCTAATCATTACAAAAAAAAATTGTGATTGAACAGGGTTTTGAATACTTCTCAGGATTTAAATGAGCAAACATACTTATCATGCTTGACAAGCTCGTCCAAGCATTGAAATTTGATGGCGCATACTGGAAGCCCACAGCCAAACATGTCTAACACTTTCATAGGTAGATCCAGCCCGGAAGAAGAAGTGTGAAGACACACTCCTACGTCTGCACTGCCCAAAACGAGCGGGTAGTCACTTGCCTCAAGCCACCTAGATAAGCAGAAAAAAACTGCGTAAGACTGAGCTAGCAACATCACAAGCGAGATGACAGGCATTACATTGTGGCAATTCGAATGCGCTTGAAAGAAAGTTTACGAATCTTTTCGAGATACATATCCTTCTGAGGTCCCTTACCCGTCACGACCACAAGCAGGTTTGGAAACTCGGACACACTAAGCGACGATGTGCGTGTATCCAAAATATCAAGCGCTGCAAGAAGAATACCAAAATCTTCATCTACAGTCCAGCTTGTCGAGCTTATGATCATAGCTGGTCGGTTTTCACGAGCTTGGACAACAGTCTTGCTTTGTTTTCCGTCGTGGATCCGAAATTTACGCGTCAGGAGGGTTTCTTCGAGGTTTACCTGATTTTCACCCCAAGTCACCAGCTAGCATAGCAAACATAAGAAGTTTAACATAATGTAACGAGCGAATCCAAAAAGAAGCAGTACAAACATCATTGCAGTGTTCCAACTGATTGCCGACACGAACAAGCAATTCATGTTGAATTTCTATCGGAGTGGGTTTGAAGAAAAGCGGTGGTTTATCATGAAGTACTGTTGCTTGAATTTGCCAAGTCTCTTGAAGCCACGTCTGCATTACGCGTGTGACACAAAAGTTGGCATCTGCTTTACGTCCAAATACACGCTCTATCCACTTGGCAATCTATGCATCAGAGAATCAAATATTAGCTTTTGATAAGAATATTGTGAATTCTTTACATTTCACTTTACTTGAACCACTGGGTGAGTACTACCAATGGCTAGAGCCAGCAAACTGTAGCCAAGATTGTGCCAGTCGATCACAAATTTCGCATTCTTTATTCGACAGCAAAGCCACACGACGACAAATGTTGGAATTCTGTTATGCAAACAAACATGTACATTAATCCATTGTAGCATATATTAGCTGAGGCATTCACTCATTGTGATTTAGCTCTTACGTTGGTGGGTTTTGTAGTAGCACGAGGTCCATGCTGCCAGTCGTGATTAGAAGTAGCCAAAGCAACTGCAGCAATTGCAGCAATACTTTGATCGGTGCAAAAAGCAGAAAAAGTTGGCGAGGCAATCGTTGCAAAAGTGGAGTGAAAGTCAACACTTTAATGTTGCTCTGGTTAGCCACGTCAGGTACACAGCTTTCGCCTGCGTAACCTAGTAACGTCACGCGTATACTTGGAGTCATGCGTGCCAATGAAAGTGCGTGATATTGCATACGTGGACTGCGGCCAATATCGCCCAAAACCATGACAATCACATGACGCACACGAAATGCATTTGGTTTCTTACGGGATCGGTGACAACGCATTATTATATGCTCGGACCCAAATTTATAATTTTTGGAATGTACGGATGTCACCGAATAATTTACAAGATGGGCATTTTTTCTGTGCAAATTAGAATTAGTTACATAATTTCTGACGGCGCGGAGAATGCCAACTTCGAGCTGGACCTTACTCAAAATATTCATCTCACTCAATTGCAAGCGCAAGCATCATGCCTTTGCCAAAATCACACGTCGTAATTATATTCTTAAAGTGTTAATGTTGCTAGTTGCGCTGGGGCAAAGCCTTTTATGGCTATGCGTGCGGCCCACCTGCTCACACCGGAAGTAAATTGAGTGTTAGAATGTTTCTCCACGAGCTTTTGCTAGTCCAATGAGGTATCACTTCGCGGGTGTACTGCCTGCGCTCAGAGAAGTAATGGGTGGGGAAACCTGTACACTTCATGAAGGGTAATCTTCGAGAATGTGTAGTTGGCAGTAGTGTTGATAAGTACCGTACTCGATATTTGGTGCTGGGTGAGGTATCGCGCTGTCCAACCGTTTTTAGACATTACAAGCCATTTTTTGGCAAAGTAAACGTCTTTCCAGTGCTTCGTCCCATGCTCGACTTACAGCAACCAACCAGGTGTCGAGCTCATACCAAGGTCAGACCACACTACAGTATCTAGAGGAGTGCGCTGCAACGGGTGGTCCTACCACTTTTGCGAGGGAGATAAAGGCCGAGATGGCGCTAGGATGTAAGCAACGGCATCAAGGAAAATTTGCTGAAGTAAAACTCATGCATTTACTGGATGAGGGTATACATTCCACATCGCAAAATACTAGTATTAGCCCTTGTGTTCCCGCTGGCTGCTAAACGTTTCACGAGGAAGTATGTCACTTCTTGTAGCGGGGCTGCCGTAGCTTTGCGCTTGAGAAAGCGTCTTTAGGTCACCGACCTTTCTTTCTTTACAAGAACCAAGTGCTAGTGCAGCGGATCGCAATCCGCTGCCTCTCAAAATACATAAAAGCCTTACGAAAACAAACGAACACTTCTGTTCAGAAGAGAAACTGATTTTTATTTAACGGATTTTTACGAATAGAAGACCTTCCACTATTACAAGCCCCCATCGAATTTTCGACAATGTTCTAGAAATAAAAGACCGCTTCGATTAAAAGACCTCTTCAAATAAAGGCCGATGTAAACACCTTAGCATTGGGCCGTTATTTTGAAATCGACCATGCGTCAAGCAATTGATCTCGGAAAGAAGCAGGAGGCGATCAAGT